TGTGTGTGTGTGTGTGTGTGTGTGTGTGTGTGTGTGTGTGTGTGTCCGCATGCCTCAGATCATGCGTGGATGTCAGAGGAAAACCAGGGCTCTCCTTCTACCATGTCCACTCCAGAGAGTGGACTCCAGAGAGTGGACTCGGTTGTCAGGCTTGGTTGAAAGCACATTTACCCTTGGAGCCTTCTCGCCAGCCCCACTCACCCTTACTCTGTATCTGAGACATGGGTTTCTCGGCATCGTTTTGCTGTTTGTGTTTTGCTGATCTCATGGAGCCCAGGCTGTCCTTGAACTCCCGGACCCTCCTGCCTCAGCATCCTGAGGGCTGAGATTAAAGGTGTGCGCCATCCTGCCTGGTTGCAGACTTTAGCTCCACTTACAGCACCTCTCCCGGCACTGCGGCCTCTGGACCTTTGCACCTGCCGAGCTCTCTCCGCTCCCTGAAGCTCACCCATGGACGCCTGGCCCTGAGAACCGCTATACTTCTCCGGGCCTCAGTTTTCCTGTGTGTAACGTGGGACCTGTCATCTGGAAATATTTACCCCCCACGTGGAACAGGTCCCGCTTGTTGACGTCAGCCGCGCCCCCATTTGCTCACCCGGAGGCGGCTCTCTATTTTAAGAGGCTGAGGGCGGGCTCGCATCTAACTGGGGCCCAGGCGACACCCGTGGCGCACCAGCCCCGCCCCCACTCCCGCCTTCCCGCCCGGGTCTCGGCTCCTAGGCTTCCTCCGGGGACCCGCCCCACTGCCCCCTCTCAGCAGCTTTACTTAATCTTCACTTCCCCAAACTCCCCTGCCCTGTGCCCGCCCGGCCTCCCGCGGCCCGGGCCACCGTGTCCACCTGCACTAGCCAAAGCTGAGGCTACGCACACAGCCGGCGCTCAATAGATGCAGGGCACTCGGTGGTGTGCGGTTCCCCACCGCAAACCTGTTGGCCGCTTAGGCGTTCGTGTCGTCCCAGTCTCAGAATCTACCAGCAAACCTTTTTGAGTTTAGCAGATGTTACAGACGGGGAAACTGAGGCCCAGGGAGGCCAGGGGCGTCGTCTCCCAGAGTCTCAAAACCGAGAGTGCGCCGGACTTGCATTCGCTCTTACTTCCCCCTGGCCAAACGCAGTAAATCGGGAAACTGGGGCTCGCAGAAGCCACCACTCGCGCACACCCTGCAGACCCTTCATTGTCACACAGATCTGTGACCCTGGAGAGATGGAATCCCAACTGGGCATCCTCGGGGTAGGGGGTGGCTTCCCTAGCAAGAGCCTCAGTTTCCCCATCAGTGGAAAAGACCGGAGGCTGGGGACTGGCTGCTAGCAGCCACGCTGGCCGGCGGCTGGGCTCCGTCCACCTCAGAGGCTGCACACACGGGAGCTCGACGGCCTCCGGCGGGTGTGGCGAGAGGACCCTGGAGCTCCTTCTCCCCACTCCAGAGGCCTGGCCTCAGTTTCCCCATCCGTCTAACGGAGACACCTCCCTTCCCATGGTGCGCAAAACGCTCTGGGCAGCAGGTGGGCAGAGGGCGCAATCTGACGCTCCCCGGCCTTCCTCACTCCCTGCCTCAGTTTCCCCGCCCCGAAGGCTCTGTCCGCGCTCCCGCCCGCGCCTGGACTCACCTGGAGCCCGCGGCGCCGCAGGAGGCTCGGCTCGTCCATGGTTGAGTGTCCCCGGGGCTGGCCCCGCCTTCAGCCCCGCCCCCGCCCACTGGGCCCGCCCCCGAACATCATTGGTCCTGTCGGTCAGCTGATGCCCGATGGCCCTGCCCCTCGGGCCCTGGGCATTTTGCAACTCCACTAGCCTTATTCTGCAGATCGCAAAGCTGCGAGCTGAGGCTACACAGCAGGACCTGCGTGCAGGTCGCTCACCTCGACACAAAAGCAATTTCCCAAGACTCCATCTTTAAGAAAAAGTTGGGTTTTGCGTTTTTTTTTCTTTTTTTAAAAACCGGGCGGTGGTGGCGCACACCTTTAATCCCAGCACTAGGGAGGCAGAGACAGGCAGAGCTCTGTGAGTTCGAGACCAGCCTGGTCTACAGAGTGAGTTCCAGGACAGGCTCCAAAGCCACAGAGAAACACTGTCTCAAAAAAAAAAATCAAAAACAAACAAACAAGCAAACAAAAACCCTTTTAAATTGTTTTTATTCATAAACGACGCGTGCTTGTGTGCTTGTTAAATGAACAAGGTTTGTTCCTCGAAAACTTTTCATCCTTCGACACCCTGGATGATTGCTCCCTCAGGGCTTCAGGCTCTCTTGAGCACAGGAAGCTATGTCACTCCCTGGTGACCATGGGGACATTCAGTGATGTCTTTTGATATGGTTTCAGAGCCCTTGTGACCTGTTCCTTCCTGCTCACCGCCCCCAGATATGTAATGTCTCTGAAAGTGGGGCTCCCCTGAGCCTCCATGGGCAGCAGCTGGGAGGGGCCAGGAGGAGGAGGAGGAGGAAGAAGCATACTGTGACCTCAATAAGGGGAGCCCCAGCCCTCCAGTGTGCCTGAGCTCTCCCTGCTTCTCACACCCCCATGGCTCCCTATTCCTCCCCCACCAGGCAAAGCCCTCAGCTTGTCACTTGAAGTGTGACAAGGGCTGAAGACTGGGCTGGCCACATCAAGCACACACCATAGGTGTCCTGTTGCTGTTCACAGCCTGGCCCACCATCAGAAGCAGCTCACTGGGGAAACTGAGGCAGGTGTATGTGTGTGTGTGTATGTGTGTGTGTGTGTAGGCAGCATTGGCAGGGACAGGGAAGGACCAAAAGACCCACGTCTGGCCCCAGTGGGGCTCCTTGAATCCATCTCTTTGCTTCCAGCTGGAACCTCTGGACTCAGTTTCCCCATCTGTGACATAGAGCAAGCCATGGCGGTCTTTCTGAGAGCACGGGCTATATTGAGACAATTAGAGGAGTGAAGCCCTCTAATCTTCCACAAACTTCCCTCCCTTGCTGGCTGGCCTAGAACTCATGGCCATCCTCCTGCCTCAGCCTCCCAAGTATGTCAGTGCATCTGTGTTGTCCTAGCTCTCTGCTCCATCTATTTGACTCTACCCCTCCCCCCCCCAGCCTCCCCTGCACCGCTCCCTTCCAGCGCCTTTGGAGTCAAGTCTATGTGGGGTCACGCGGTAGGAGTGTCACCGTGCCAGGGCCGAGACACAGCCTCATTGTCCCAGCGGCACTGACCTCATAGCCTTCAGGGAGCTTGACCCTGGGCCAGGCGGGCCAGCTGTGCTGGGGACATGGCTCCTCACGCAAGGGGCCCCTCCCAAAGCACCATGAGCTTGTTCACATGGGCCTCAGTTTCTCCAAAAGATCTGTCTCACTTATCTGAGCCCTGGAAATCAGGGGGTGTTTAACCCAAGACAGGGTTTCTCTGTGTTGCCCTGGCAGTCCTGGAACTCACTCTGAAGACCAGGCTGGCCTCAAACTCAGAGATCCACCTGCCTCTGCCTCCGGAATGCTGGGATTAAAGGCGTGCGCCACCACTGCCCGGCAAATTCTTTCTTTTGAAACAGTCTATATAGTATTGGCTGCCCAGAAATCCATGGTCATCCCCCTGTCTCAACCTTTTAGGTACTGGGAAAAGGACTTTAAAATGAAACCTACAGGCTGGGGCTCAGTTTCTAGGCCTCTGCTTAGCATTCAGGAAGCCCAGCACCCCAATAAACTAGGTTAGCATTCAGGAAGCCCAGCACCCCAATATACTAGGTGTATCTGTGACACTTGTCACCCTAGCATTGGGGCGGTGGAGGCAAGAGAATCAGGAGTTTAAGGTCAGCCTCAGCTACCTCAGCTTCATAGTGAGTTCAAGTCCAGCCTGATCTACATGAGACCATGCCAAAAAAAAAAGACCCCCCCAGGCTGACTTATCTTGGGGTGGGTAGTCGTGGGGGTGGGGTGAGGGGGCTGACTTCCTGGCTTTCACTTTCACTTTGACTGGCAGGGGAGGCAATGAGTTTTTCTCCCCCCCCTTTTCATTTTCTTTCCTTTCTCAGTGTCTGCTTGTTCCGGGGTAGAGACAGGGTAGCTGGGCCCCTTCAGCGGCGCAGAAGTTCTTGGGGCTTCACAACTCCTTGTGGACCTAATGGGGCTGCGGGAGACCAGCCAGCCCATCTTCATCGTCCTCCTGCTTTGCCGGCTGGGTGGTGAGTCCTCCCCAGTGCTCCCCCCACATGTCCTGGGTAGGGAGGAAGGAGGGGTCCGTGGAGGGATGCAGGCTCCAGCTCTCTGGGCCGGCTGTCACATGGGGTCTCTGTGGCCATGTTTGCAGGGGTCTCTGGTTTGTGCTTCTCCTCTACTGAGAGTCCTGGTCCATTCCCATTTCCCATCTTCTTAAATAAGATAAGCTCAAAGAATTGCAGGCAGGCACACATAAGGTCGCATGTTCTGCGCACAGTTCACAGCACAAATTCACACGGGATCTGCACAGGCAGGTTGTTGGACACCTCATGGACCAGGCTGGGATGCACCTCCACCATGGCTGCTGTGTGACTCTGGGCAAATTCTATGCCTCTCTGTGCCTCTGCATTCCTCTGTAGACCAGGGATCTGCAGGTTTTTTTTTTTTTTTTTTTTTTTTTCCCCGAGACAGGGTTTCTCTGTGGCTTTGGAGGCTGTCCTGGAACTAGCTCTTGTAGACCAGGCTGGTCTCGAACTCAGAGATCCACCTGCCTCTGCCTCCCTAGTGCTGGGATTAAAGGCGTGTGCCACCACCGCCTGGCAGGATCTGCAGTTTGTTGGCCCTCCATTTCAGCTTGATGGAGGGAACAATCGGGGATGGTGACCAGAATGTCACACCAAAAGTGCTGCAGGACTTTGGGGACACCATGTGCTGAGACTCACAGCAAGAGGCAGGGACCCCAGTTTCCTATGGAGGGCCACCTTCAGAGATAGCTGGCTGGTGATAGCAAAGAGGGGACAGCATGGCCAGGAAAGATGGCTCAGGCTTCAGGGCTGGGGTCACCAGAGAGAACAGGAAGGGTGCACCTGTCAACCTCAAAATCCAGAAGACTCCCAGAGCTGGGGTGACCCTTGCTTGTGGTGTCCTACACTCTCACAGGGCAGACACTGGTGCCCCAAGCTCCACAGTGAATCTGCTCACAGGACATCACCATCTCCTGGGGACTGTCCCAGCCCTGACTGCCAGCAGCCAAGTGCACTTACTGGGTACCCCAGCCTCCCCCTGCCCTGAGGCGATCTAGGGCAGCACCTGCTCCTGCTCAGAGCCCGTTCCTGCCCCAATGCTATAT